CAAAAAACAAAGAAAAAAGAAAATAAACCACCCAATAAAAAGATGGCAATATACCTGAACAGAAAAGTTCTCAAATGAAGAAATAAAAATGGCTAAGAAGCACCTTAAATAGTGCTGAACAGCCTTAGTAATTAGAGAAATGCAGATAAAAACCACTTTAAGATTCCATCTTACCCCAGTCAGACCAGCTAAAATCAAGAGAATGAAAGGCTCCAAATGCTGGAGAGGATGTGGAGAAGGAAGAACGCTCATTCACTGCTGTTAGGAAAGCAAACTCGTGCAAACCATATGGAAAACAGTGTGGAGAACCCTCAGAAAACTACAAAAGAACTTACCATATGATCTAGTTATACACTCGTTGGCATGTACCCAAAAGACTCGTCATCTACAGAGATACCTGTACATCCATGTTTGTTGCTGCTCTCTTCACAAAGGCTAAGAAATGGAAATGTCCCTCAACCTGAATGTCCCTCACTGACAAATAGATAATGAAAATGCGGTACATCTATGCAATGGAGTTCTACTCAGCAGTCAGAAAAGATGAAATTATGAATTTTTCAGGTAAACAGATGGAGCTAGAGAGTGTTATACTAAGTGAAGTAGCACAAACCAGAAAAGCAAGTGATGTCTATGTTCTGTCATTAGTGGATAATGTCACCAACCCCTTATATGTGAGTATATAAATTCTGATGTAACACCAGGAGTCAGGAAAAGGGAGAGGAAACATGGAGATAAAGGAAAAGAAAGAACTTAAAGTGGATAGTAGGGAACAGATGTTACCTGAAGGAGGTGGAAAATGTGGGAGTAACCGGCAGGGAGGAGAGGAGGGAGGGACATGTGGGAGAGGGAGGAAAGTCAGGAGAGGAAGAATGGTGGGAGATGGCTGGTATTGGTGGGAGGATGGGAATAATGGGGGCACTGTGACTAGGGAGGGAGGAGGGAAGCTGGATGGGACAAAAGGGGGTAGAGATGCACGGATCTTGGAGGAACTAGGAAACCTAGAGGGAAAAGTGAGTCCCTGGAAACCTTGAGAAATGCACATACAGTGTCTGAACGTTAGTGCATATTTATACCTGGGAGCTGCTTGGCAAGGAACATAGTGACAGACAGAAGAGACTTCCCTTTGAGTGGCTGTTGAGGGTGGTCCATGAAACTCCCAAAATAACACAGGCTATTGCCAAACGTCTTGGTTACCTACCAGAACTAGTAGATTAGATCCTACTGTTGAAGACAGAGCATATGAAGAATACAGGACTTAGAGCAATGGAGTAGGAACTCACCTGGAAGACTTCTACCAGAAGTCTGGTATCATAATGCTAGATGATGATATGCAAACTGCCAAGGGGGAAAAATAA